ATTAGAAGTTTATAACTCCTACGTAGGACTTTATAAGTCCTACTAATGACTTTATAACTCCTACGTAGGAGATATAAAAACCTAATTAGGAGTTTTAAAGTCCTCCGTAGGACTTACAAACTCCTACGTAGGACTTTATAACTCCTACAGGACTTTATAACTCCTACGTAGGAGTTAAAAAGCCTTATTAGGAGTTATAAGCCCTACGTAGGAGTTTAAAAGTCCTACGTAGGAGTTTATAACTCCTAAGTAGGATTTTATAAGTGTTCCTTTACGTAGGAGTTTAAAACTCCTACGTAGGAGTTATAAACTCCTAATTAGGCTTTTTTATCTCCTACGTTTGAGTTATAAAAAATTCTGGAAACAAAGTGATCCCTCGGAAGCATTAATTACAACAAAATAACATAAGAATTGCAGACTCGGTTTGATCGAGTCTGTACATGAGGGATAATGAATAAGTGCAACATCCCTCACGCCCCCTAGCACCGGCTTGAGCGGTACTCAATTCTCAACACTTTATAGTGTTGGCATCAATGATCCCGAAGGACCAGAAAATACAAAGTCCTACGTAGGAGTTATAAAGTCCTATGTAGGACTTATAAAGTCCTACGTAGGAGTTACAAAGTCTTTCGTAGGAGTTTAAAAGTCCTACGTAGGAGTTTAAAAGTCCTACGTAGGAGTATAAAAGTCCTTCGTAGGAGATATAAACTCCTAATTAGGCTTTTTTTATTTCCTACATAGGAGTTATAAAGTCCTACGTAGGAGTTACAAAGTCCTACGTAGGACTTATAAAGTCCTACGTAGGAGTTATAAAGTCCTACGTAGGAGTATAAAAGTCCTACGTAGGAGTATAAAAGTCCTACGTAGGAGTTATAAACTCCTAATTAGGCTTTTTTATCTCCTACATCACAGACACTTGGGGTTTGGAGCTCAAAACGCCTTTAAAATCCAAATAAAATGCATATTTGTCAATCCCAGCACATGTACTGATCATATATATCAAAAAAACTTAATATAAGCCGTTTTGAAAAAAAATCATATTTCAACTTCTATAATAATACACAGACACTTGGGGTTTGGGGCTCAAAACGCCTTTAAAATCCAATTAAAATGCATATTTGTCAATCCCAGCACATGTACTGATCATATATATCAAAAAAACTTAATATAAGCCGTTTTGAAAAAAAATCATATTTCAACATCTATAATAATACACAGACACTTGGGGTTTGGAGCTCAAAACGCCTTTAAAATCCAAATAAAATGCATATTTGTCAATCCCAGCACATGTACTGATCATATATATCAAAAAAACTTAATATAAGCCGTTTTGAAAAAAAATCATATTTCAACATCTATAATAATACACAAGATAAAAATGTTCGCCGGAAAAAAACCGCACCCCTACCGTCATAATCACCATGTATTTTAATCCATTTCCAATATTTTCACATAATCCTTTGGTCCATCGACACAGAACATATAATTCTTCACGATGATGGTCAATTTTAAACTTCAACGGTAATATAAACAACGCAACAGCCGAAATAAACATCAATATTATCGCCGTTTTTTTTTCAACGACAAAATGTTTCGATAAATTCAATGGACCAGACGGCTATGAACGAAGCTATCCGATTATGTGGCCCCAGCTTTGCCGTGTGCAAAATGCGCAGCGCTTTTAAGTTTGGGAACCACATAATCGGATAGCTTCGTTCATAGCCGTCTGGTCCATTGAATTTATCGAAACATTTTGTCGTTGAAAAAAAACGGCGATATATAATATTGATGTTTATTTCGGCTGTTGCGTTGTTTATATTACCGTTGAAGTTTAAAATTGACCATCATCGTGAAGAATTATATGTTCTGTGTTGATGGACCAAAGGATTATGTGAAAATATTGGAAATGGATTAAAATACATGGTGATTATGACGGTAGGGGTGCGGATTTTTTCCGGCGAACATTTTTATCTTGTGTATTATTATAGATGTTGAAATATGATTTTTTTTCAAAACGGCTTATATTAAGTTTTTTTGATATATATGATCAGTACATGTGCTGGGATTGACAAATATGCATTTTATTTGGATTTTAAAGGCGTTTTGAGCTCCAAACCCCAAGTGTCTGTGTCCTACATAGGAGTTATAAAGTCCTACGTAGGAGTTATAAACTCCTAATTAGGCTTTTTTTATCTCCTACGTTGGAGTTATAAAGTCCTACAAAGTCCTTCGTAGGAGTTATAAAGTCCTATGTAGGACTTATAAAGTCCTACGTAGGAGTTACAAAGTCTTTCGTAGGAGTTTAAAAGTCCTACGTAGGAGTTTAAAAGTCCTACGTAGGTGTATAAAAGTCCTTCGTATGAGATATAAACTCCTAATTAGGCTTTTTTATTTCCTACATAGGAGTTATAAAGTCCTACGTAGGAGTTATAAAGTCCTACGTATGAGTTTAAAAGTCCTACGTAGGAGTTATAAACTCCTAATTAGGCTTTTTTATCTCCTACGTAGGAGTTTTTTTATATAATATTATGAAATGGCAGCAGGACGCTTCCGTACAAAGCTGCCTCCCAAACATGTTCTAAAGGATTTAGGCCAGGGGATCTTCTTGGCCAATCCATTTGAACAAATGTAGCGTGTTCAACGAACTGAAATTTTTAATTGTACAAACTGATGAGAATAAAATAGGTAATGACAAATAATGATTCTTACCAAACTTTGAGTAGTATATATGGAGCTCTAGACTCGAAAATCTTGTAAAATTGAATTTTCAATGTAACTGTGTATACATGTATAGAGCTCAACTGAAACGAAAACAAAATTTGAAAATCTTAATCAACCGGGGCACTTAAAACGAAAAAATAGTAAAAAGATATTAAAGGAGTATTTGCAGAATTATATTGTAAAAGGTGTTATTTAATCATTTTAGTTAAAAGTGTTTAAACACTTTTTATTTTTAGACACAGAAGAAATTTGCATACAAATTATTAATATAGACCTACATGAAATGGTAAAAAAAATCTCGAAAAATATTTCCAGTCCAGCCAAGAAAACCACACACGCACTGGGGTCGCAACCTTGCATGTTTTCCACTCATGTATACTAAGTATTGGTAAGTGTTATAAGTAAGCATTTACAAAAATTAATTGGTCAAGAACGGCACACAGTTCAACCAATTCAATTTGGTAAATGCTTACTTATGAACACTGGCTAATTTAGTGTTTGAAATAGTTTTGATAGTAATGTATATGTATGCATCTAAGATACTAAACAGGCTTTTGATACGGTTTGATTAGATGGTGCTTTCTACAAAATGTCACAATTAGGTATAACTGGTAAAATTTGGAGACTTCTAGTTGACGCACACACAAATATGTCTAGTTGTGTCGATCGCTGCTAATGGCCTTCAATCTACGTTCTTCCCAGTACGACAAGGCATTAGACAAGGAGGGACGATTTCTACTTGGCTATATAAATTGTTTATAGATGATTTGATAAACGAATTAGAAAATAGTGAATTAGAATTAAACATCCTACATCTTTCTGTAGGGGCGACAACTCTTGCAAATGATATAGCCCTATCAGCAACTAACCCCACCGGCCTTCAAAAAATGCTTGATATTACACATAAATATACATGTAGATACAGGTACAACATAAACCCACTGAAAAGTGACATTATAGTATTTGGTAAAAAACGAAAAACACCCCAGGTTCAACTATTAATAGGAGGTTGTCCTATTTATTAGGTTCATAGTGTTAAACATGTATGAATCTTCCTAAATGACAAACTAAATGACGCAGACAAGGTAGAGCGTGCATGCGAAAAAGCAAAAGCATCCCTTTTTTCTCTACTATCACTTAAAATAGACCCGGCCCACATAAATCCAATCAAATCGGCTTCGCTTATTTTCAAAAATGTGTATACCTAGATTATTGTATGGTTGTGAATTCATGTCTAACCTTAAGAAAACTGACTATAACCGACTTGATAGATTTGTTAGAATAGCTGCAAAAAAAGATACAAGGGTTCTCTGTGCTAACAGGAACGGATATTTGTCTTAGTATGTTAGCCTTGAAAAATATTGAATTTAGAAAACTAGGGTTTTAAGACAATTATGTAACATGCCAAACACAGTTTTAGCAAAACATGTGTTCAATGTGAGATTATCAATTTATGTATGTACCGCAGAGGAAAAACAGCATGGGTTTGTCCCAGATATCGTAACTATTCTTAGGAAATATAATCTCTCAATGTACTTAATAAAGTATATAGAAAGTGGTGTTATTCCGTCAATTAAAAGGGTCATGGAAAATACTATGCAAAACGAAAATAAATATTTTTCGAAACAGAAAAATGGACCCTACGGATGGTTAATGATGATGACTTTAATAGATTTCGTTTTTTACATACAAACATAGAGAGGTCAATTTTATGGGAATGTTCTTATAACGTAACAAACTTAGAACACGCTGTCCAGATTAGCAAATTATGGATAAGCAAATGTAATGATACAAACATTTCAATGTGTCTTGATTGTGGAACACTCTGCTATGATATCATAAAACATATTGTTGTAAATTGTAATATAATGGACATTTTTCGCGAAGAATTGTTTAAAACTTTGTATAATTTATTTGGCAAAGAAGGTTTCAGAAATATTATTAAGTGATAGCGAAACGAAGTTTCAAAAACTTATAGGCAGACGCCTGTTATCATTACAAAACAGGAATGTTCATAAACATTTTTAAGAATAGCAATCGCATATGTTTACTATTGCATTAAAATGCACGATGTATACAAATCTCGCAGAGACGACGGTACTATTTAAAATATGCATTGTCATAATTTTGTTTTAGAAAGGAAATACGATACTGGCATCAGTGATAGCTGTACAAGCATCTAAAGTATATCACAGGAAAAAAAATATAATGAGAATGTAAATACTCATGAACTTATGTAATATGTACATTTGACATTTAAACTCTGTTAGTATGCCATCCGTCAAGCAGTATTAACAGTATCAGAGGGTGGAGAGGATAATTTTGACCCACTCGGATGTTATCTCAATGTTAACAGGTAATGTGTACTACCACAACTTAAATCATTACACGTATGAAAATCATGGAAGTAGTTGATACGCATTTTCGTAAGTTGTTGTTTTAATTTGTATATTGACTCAACTTTAAATGCAACGACAATATCAGTAAATTTAACACCACGCTGTCACGTAACATTAAACCTTAACTTATGACACATGTATGACAGTAAATTGTAGAAGGTACGATATTTCTTTTACTTAAAATTTAAACTATTCAACTTTGGAGGACATTTGTAAACAAGAGCTAAACAGAACAGTTCACATTATATCTAATTATCTAGACATATCGGGTTAACCGACACATTTTGTATCAACAACTAATCTTTATACACCTTGGGGAATCGTTCTTCAGAAGTAACGTATATAAAATGTGTCACTCGTATGTATTAACACACTTTCCGAGAGGTTATTCTGTAATATTAAATCTACATATAATTAAACTTATTTTGTTTACATTTCAACCAAAACCTACCCGTTCACAAAGTGCTGTTAATTGACCACTGCTTTCGATTAATAAATAGCCATTGTGCGGTTGTTTTTTGTTTGCTCTCCCTCCATCGCTCCCCTTATTTTTTGTCATTCTTATTCAATTTCAGACGTCTGGGAACTGGAGAAGTTTTCCTATCCATGGCCTACACCCGATATGAAGAATATATATAAGAACTTTTATATTACTGATTATGAAAAAGCTATTGCAAATACACCGGTGAAGCACGCAATTTTCGTACAATGCCTGAACGCAAGCGTCGAAGAGGCCGGTAGGTATACATTCATATCTAGTGTTTCAATGCTGCCGTTTTCTTTCAATCAATTTAAATTGTTAAAATTTTAACCGGAACAACATAGGTAACCTATGATTGTTGCTGTTTATATATTTTATATTTATTTTCCAGAATGGATGGTAGAAACGGCACAAAAAAACATGAAACTATTAAAGGAATTGTGGCGGGATTAGATATCATAAGTCCAAAGGTGTGTGTGTTGAAATTATTGCTTATCAAATAAGCATATCGTCTCCAAAAATAAAGATAATTATTTTGTCTTTCATTACGTAAACGGTAAACTTAGATTGGTACCATCTTAAGGTCTTAATCAAGACGTATTAGTGTTTGAAATAATTTTTCCAACAGGATTACAGTATATCAAATGACATTTACTTTTTTTGTAAATCGGCAAATCATTTATCAGTCCATTAAATCGGCAATTTAATTAATGCTTACTAAAACACTAACATGAACTTTAAACTGAATACATAGGTGGGAACCAGTAATGTAATCTTCTTAGATGTGTCTATTCACTGTATGTTATACTTGAAAAAGTTTATTTGAACATATATTGTATTGAAATAATTCATTTTTCTTCAGTTAGAGGAAGTGATTTCTAAACTTCAGCCAAGCGGCTTATTAAAGGGCGTGAGACATCTGTTTAGTTGGGAGGAAAGGGAAGACTGGTTTACCAGGGACGATGTTGGGGTGGGGCTTGATATTCTTGGCAAACATAACATACCGTACGATCTTCAGGCCAGGTATGAACTTCTAACGTTGACAACATGTCAAACTGCACGTGAAAACCTGGCCATGGCTCATTTAACTGAGATAATATTATGTTGCTTTTTTTTATTAACAATCCCTCAATATTTTGACATTCTCCAGCCATTTTTGCGGAAGCCGTGTGCATTGTACCTAAAACAAACACATATATCAAAGGATATGAAAGGTTATCTTTTTAATATCATTTTAAGATTGTAACTAACAAAAAGTAATTTAAAATAAAAAATAATGATAAAAATATACTATATATATAAAACGTTTTTTTTAACGTAAAGTATTCTTAGTGACATATCTGGAGAGTGTCTTCAACAAAAAAGTGATTCTGTTTTTCAACACACGTAAATTATATGAGAGAAAAAACACATTTACTATACATTACTACTATTTTTCAACTTATGTTTACAGCCCAGAACATTTGAAATATATTCGAGATATTTGTCCAAAGCATCCTAAGTAAGTAGTCATTTCTTCTCGTTCTTTGGGGAAAATGAATGATGAATATTAATCAAGTGTGTTACATATTGAATATACATGTATTAAAAATAAGTGTCTCATGTTTATATCATTTAAAGTGTTATAATACTGCATGTTTGTGACGTCGCTTTTCATTGGATAACAATGGCGTTTATACATGTATAAACTGTATACACGACTGCTGTGAAATTATGAAGTAATTACATCTTTTCATAAAGAATATTCGCTGTATTATAACTGTGTTATAAGCATTCTCGACAAGTTTTACGGCTCTATATAAACAGCTTTTTGTATACTGCAGTATAATTATACTCAAGCCGTAATAAAGGAGGGGTGTCAAAGTGAAATAACTCTTTTTTACCCGCCGTATAAATATTGCATGTCATTTCTTAACACGAAATTCGTCTTATGACTTCGGAATATCTATCTCAGATTTTTCGGGAGATAAAAATATTATATATTTCGTCATGGAACATGTTTCGCGAGCACTCGTGGAATATATTTCGTCAGAAAATTAGGGATGTGCAAACAATATTTACTTATAATCATATTCAATCTTTATACAATGTACATGACTTGTGTATATTAACATACACAATGGTCATTGAAAAATTATGGGGAAAAAAGGTAGCAAAACAATTGATATCCAAATAAAATTAACTAAAATGGTTTTAACGTGGAGTTGTTATAGTTTTTGTTTAGATGGTTTACATCATTTTAGTACAAAATTTATGATCGACCATATCGCAGTGCCACCACTGAACACCGACAGAATGGAATTATGGACGAGAGATATGGCGGATGTTGCTAAAATACCAAATGTATATTGTAAAGTGTCAGTATCCAGATTTTCTTTGTTCAGATAAATTATTATTCATGTAACATTTTTATTTGGGTGCACGGAATCCGTAATGAATTAATCATTATCTAAATGATATAATTAACATGTACAAAATGTTGAAAGTGAAACAACTCCCTGATATACATGTATAGTTTCATAGATACTGTAGAAAAGAAAATTCAAAAGAAAATCAAATCTATCAGTGCCAACTTAAAACTTTTAAACGCTACAAAAAATGACGTCTTTTTAATTTAACAAGCAGAAGCTTTTAACCAAATCTCTAAAACTTCACTTTAATACAATGTTTGATATAATCTGCTGCGTTTTTGTCATGCTTGAATAATAACTTATTTTACAGATCAGGGATTATTTCGGGACTGACACCTGATACATGGAAAACGGTGGATTTTCAGCCAATTATTGATGTAAGTTGTACTACTGCAAATTATGAATTCTGATATTTTACATCCGGTATGGTTATTAATTATCGTTAAAATGATGTATAAAATAGAACAAGCGCATTTAACATCTATAGATAACTGATGTATGGTATCGGATATATTTATTATTGATCGATAACCATTGGAATGACGGAAATAATGGTAGACCTAATAAGGTAGAACAATTTATTGGCGGAAATAATGGTAAAGCTAATAATGTTTTTGTACCACACCTTTTCGGAAAAAAGGAGATGTACCAATTGGGCTCCGTTCGTCTGGCTATCAATTTCATCCGTCTGTTCGTTCGTAACAATGTGTTATCCTCCATAGCTCAGTCATTCATCACAGGATTTTAAAATAACTTGGCAAAAATGTTCACAATTTTCCACAAAACAGCAAGACCCTAACGTTCAAGGTCAAGGTCACACTAACAGGTCAAATGTGAACATGGTTTGTATTTTCCATGTCCGGATAATAACTCCGAAAGTATAACAGTGAGAGGGAGGCCACTGCAAGAAAACCATAACTACATCTTAAATGATTTTCAGTTTGTCTCCCTTTATTTTCTTAATTTGTTTAAGTCTATTTCTTTTGACACATACACTGGAAATATCATAATAGTTCTGTTGCATGCCAAGATATAGCATCTATCAAGATTTTGCACCATACCTACCACACCATAATACTACCGTCTGCTTCATGTCAAACTTCCCTTTAGAAGGCGAAAAAAAAGTTGGTAACACTTTTTCAAATTATTGTTATGCATGAATCGGTGTTGTCAAATAGACTAATATAATAAATAATGTATAAAATGGTATATGAATAGAACTAATACATAGAGGATATTCAAGTTTTTTCTATAAATACATGATTTATTTTCATCAAGTGGTATGAAAATAAATATTTCATGAGTGGCGGTAGCCACGAGTGAAATATGGTAATTTTCATGCCACAAGATGAAAATAAATCATGTATTTATAGAAAAAACTTGAATTTTCTGTTTATTATATACATTTTTCTCTTTTTTGCGATAAAATTTGAAAGACTTTCCCTTAAATTTTGTGTACTTGCAGAATTTAAAAGAAAGTAGTCCAGGAAGACACCAGTGAAAATACGGAAAATATGTTTCACTGCAGTGAAAAATAAATTTTTACATTGAAAATACGGAAAATGATAATACGCATTTTATTTCATCAATATTTCTCATTATTTCATTTATAAGTATATAATAAATAATCATATGTTTATGTACTGGTTATATATCACAGTGAATATTAGCAAAATTAAGGTAATGTGATTTTTGATCAGTCAATACTGGTCAATATGATTATATTGATGTAAAAGATGGTACAGCTAGATATAGATTCATTTCAATAGAAAATGTACATTTACATATTACGTACACAAGGCATTAGTTATAAACGCTATGTCGCTCAACATATGTTTAGGATAACACAAGAAAATGCTATAGGATTATATTTGTAAATCATGGTAGATCCGATATAATCATTAGTGTAAATAATGGTACGGACCAATATGAATAATTGATGTAAACAATGGTGAGATTGGTATAAATAGGAGAACTAATACAATTATTGTCAGAACCGACTTTGTTATTTATCTAAATAATGGGATAACGAATATATGGTTATTTATAGTCCCGTATTGTCCCATAAATGCTTTTATTTCTATTCCCGAAAAAGCTGTTTTTTTTGTGTTTGTTAAAGTTTCCAAAAGGTTGGCCAATCACCTTAATCATATTTGCGTCTGTTGCTTTCTAGGTATAAGTTCAGTTATAGTGTTCTATTATTTTGTATGGAAGTCAATATACTACTTTGCTTACATTTTTTTTTACTTAAATGACAAATAATTTCACATTCAGCGCTACTTTCTTCAGGTAATAAGCATTTAACATGCTCTAAAACTATTATTTAAACAATTTAAAACTCAAGTATGCCCTCTCTTAATAAGGAAAAATCATTCGTTTCTTAGGCATACTATGTTTTTCTGTAAATAATGGGATAACAAATGTAATTATTGATGTAAATGATAGTATAAATAGGGGATGTTTAAGTTTTCTACCATAAATACTGGATTTATTTTCATAAAGTGGTATGAAATTAAATATTTCACGAGTGGCGGAAACCACGAGTGAATATGATAATGTTCATAGCATCAGATGAAATGTAATTCCCATATGCATAAATTTATAGCAAAACCTGAATTTTCTGTTTATTAAATACTTTTCCACTTTTTAGACCTTAGATTCGAAAGACTTTCACTTAAATTTTGCGTATCGGCTGAATTTAGAAGAAAGTAGGCCGACAAGATACCGGTTAAAATACGGAAAATATATTTCAGTGCAATGAAAAATCTTTTTTACATGTACACACTTCATTTCATCAACATTTCTCAATATTACATTTATAAGTATGTAATAAAAAGTTATCGTTATTATTGATATAAATGACAGTAGAGTCGCTATGCATGGTTTAATGTTATTTTTTATATAAAAATTCGAAACTAAATTCGATGTTATCTTTGTTTCAGCACGTGCTTTCTATATTTGGACCAGACAGGTGTATTTACGGATCCGATTGGCCAGTTTTCGGAATGGCGGAAGCATCGTATGATGAATATTTTGCTTTAATGCAAAAACTTGTCTCTAAATTAAACGATGATGACTCGAGAAAATTCTTCAGGGAAAATGCAATAAAGTTCTACAATATAGATGTATGAAACATCAGCTGTGAACTGCAGTTTGTGTAGCAAATCATGACCTTGTCGCTTTTAATACATATTTCTTTAATTATTACGTTTTAAGATACGTGTAATTTGAACTTAATTACTCATTTATATTAAATATTTGGATAGTGCAAGATTTCATTCATTACACCCAACATGGTTATATGTCTTGAAAGTGGCGTTTAATTCTCTCTGTGAAGCTTCCAGGTAAGTAGTTGTGAAAATTAAGTTTGCATGCAAAGGTTAAACCAGAAATTCACTATGGTTACAAAGAGCAATAATTAAGTATACATCCATTTCTTGAAAGGAAACCTTACATTTTAAGATTAAGTTTGAAAAGAATACTTTTAAGTTGTTTAAAAGACAGAACTTTACTAGGAATTATCTATGTTCACAAAGGAACATTTAAAATCAATTAAAATCCGTACTAGGGTTATGATCTCAAATTAAGACTGAACAGTGTGTTATATTTCAAGTGAATACCTTCAGTTATTATAAAGATTGACATTGTACTCAAAACTTTAACCAATTCAATTCAATATTTTATTCGGCAAAAACATATAAATGTTCATCGCCAATATAACATATAAACAATGAAGAGAAAAGCATGAAGTCATATTAATTAATGCAATCAAATTCTGTCGACAATAAAAAAACAAAAAGATACTGTAGATGATCTATGACATACATAAAATAAGGTCATATTACAAAAATCACGCTTGAGCTTTTTCGCCCCAAAGATTAGCTTTGTTTTGCAAGTTTATAATACATGTAGCATTACTTTGTTGACAATTTAACCAGTAATATTAAATTAAGACAAATTCCATGTCTGAGTTTTAGGCTTCAAAGGCATGTTTGGAGTAACAAGTAAACATTTTAATGTTTGATCAGATATGATGAGGTACAAGTAGTCTCCCACAAAACATATTACATTCAGGCCGAAGCCAGGGTAGAAATGTCACACTTCTTTGAAAAGTCAAGCTAAAACAAGAGCTGTTCGTAAGACAGCCTTACTCGACTATTGCAAGTATTTGCCTGGAAGTGGGAATGATGCTCACTAACAAGTATACAAACTTTAAAAGCAATTCCTCAAATGGTATTGGAAAAAGTGGAAAAGTACAAAATACTTAACCAGAATTCCAAGTAAAACAAGAGCCACCGCCGGGCGGGGACGCTCGACTTTTTAAAGGGAAAGACAAGGTTAGAATAGAAACTTGATTTCAGAAAAAGAATACTATAAATAATAAATCTGCAAATTTTCTGCCGCCAAATAATAATATTAAACGAATGATATCAATATTTAAATCGCTAAATCACCGATTTCTACAAATCAGTAAGCGCGGCCATGTTTGTGTATTGGCCGTATAAAAACAGGTGCGCGTGATGTCATTTCCCCACATCTTTAGATTCATGATAAATCTAGTTGAATTGACCTTTTCGAAAACCTAGCTAAACACCGTTTTCCGGTACATTACCGTTTTAGCTCTGGGGAATTACACCAAATGAAGTACATAACATAGTTACGAGATATTTCTATTTTTAACCGTTTAAGGTGAAAAAAATGATGTTTTTGAAAATTATCAATATTTGTTTAATATCTATTGCAAATTATTCAAAAAAATTAATTGTTTATAATGAAAATCAATAAAACTAAAACAGACGTAGTGGAATCTTCCATAATAAATAAGGTTATTTTCTGCGTAAACTTGTGTATTTACTTTATTTTTTGTATGGAATTATTCATACAATGACATTTAATTATTTTTTTTATAAAGAAATAACTGTTTTATTTCAATTTAATTAAAAAAAGGCCGAAAACATCGAGTTCGCTATTACACTCCATTAGGTGAATTCCCCAGAGCTATGTACAGAAAGTACCGGAAAACGGCGTTTAGCTAGGTTTTCGAATTCGTGAATCGTAAGGAAATATTAATATAATAAAGTATTGACCAGACAAATTAATTTTCACAGGAGGTGTAGAGGAGAATTTTTTATGGTTCAAAATACGCAACAATATCAAAAAAAAAATAATAATAAATAAATAAAGAAACGTACGGCTAGCCGAAAGTTCTAGCCGAACGTGAGTCACGAACGACTAGCCAGGACGCACTGTATTGTCTAGCCCATCTAGTCTAGCCGTACGGCACTTTTCAAAATTATATGGAAATCGAACGTTATAAAATTGTTGATTTTAATGCTTATCATTTGTTGTTTTATTTGTATGAATTATTAAATCATTTTTGTTAATTTTAAGCACATGGATCGAATAAAAAATGATCGGAGTGGAATAAATAAATAAAAAGAACATTGAATGGAAAAAAAACAACGGTGAAATGCAAAAATAATTATATAATTTTCAAAACAGTAGATAAATATCGAACATAAAAGCACAGTCAATCAATTAATTAACCTTAAATAAAACCTATCCAGGGACTGACAATAGAATTTTAGAATGCCTTTCACGGAACATGCAAACTTTCTATACAGAACCGTCGGTAATTGTCGCAATTATCAAGAGCCTAACAACAATCATTTTCAGTGTTTGTTTTTTTGTTTGTTTTTTTTTTTTTCGTATTAAAGGTGTCGAAAATTAAACTTAATGAAACAAAAAAGGATTATTATCAAAATTTTACGGGCCCGTACGCTAGCCACTTCCATTATAAAAACCCTACTAAAACGTGTTCTTAATAGTACATATAATTAAATTTTTGCAGTTTGACTCTGACTTTAAAATTGAAAGGTGTGAACATATGTTATAATTGATGTACACATTTCAAAAATATAAGCAACTCTTTTGAAAAGTAAATTGTTAACATGTCTGTCAACGTATGAAGCTGGGCATCGTTGTCGTAGCCTAATATTAACTGCAGGCAAATCATTCTTATTGGCTGCTCAAAAATCTAATTTGCATAATTTATTCACACAATTGCTGGTTCTTACTACTTGTGTCTAATACTGCGCATTGTCCATTTTAATTGTTCCTAATTTGCACCAAATGTTCCTGTCACACTGTGTACTGACGATTTTTATTGCTCTATGTATGCCTCTGTGCCGACAGACCTTTTGATCATGCACAATGTTGCCCTGATTGGTTAATCACCCTTGTCAAATATTCTAATGACGAAATAGACATCTATTTTTTACGCTTCATGTGAACTGAATGACCTTAGGGGGAATTAGGTTCCACACCTGTCAGTAAAGTACAGCACGTCATAAAATAGCAACACATTTTTTTTCAGTTAGCAATAATCATTTTAAATATTAAGTAGATTTATGATTTTTTGTTTTATTGGATTAAATTTACGGTAGTAGAAATGCGTATCTGTCGGGGAAAGGAATTTGGTAAGTAGATAACGTGGAAAAAAGCTTTAGTGAACAATATGCGTAATTATTGGGGAATGGGCAACCTGTTGCTGTTGGTACCAGTGTTGACTGGGTGCCTAAATAACCTAATTAACGGACAGTTTTGTTTTCATACGATATTAGTCTGGCTGCCGATTTTCCTGCGCCATTCTCATTTTAAGCGTCAATGGCGGAAACTCGCGTCCTCAGCATATTGGATTTAGTTGATATTTTATCTGAAAAAAGATACATGACCGGCGATGTACCCTATTTGGACAGCTTGTCTAGCGAAAATTAAGTACAAAATAAAAGGATATATCGTCAATTTGAAGAAGTTTTTCATAGTACCCAAATTAAATTTATTGTTTATCTTTGCAAATTAAGCAGTCATTGCTTAAATTATGTGGTGGGATCATCAGCAAGCTTGAATATCGGACAAATGATAATTAATGTCGCGGCGTCTTCAATTAATTAATTAAAGCAATTCAGTTCCATATGATGTTTTCATAAATAATATATAATGTACGCAATATAATTAATAAGTTCTTCATCAAGATATATTTCAGTTGTACCAGCGTGTACACCTATACCGGAAATGGGTATAACACGTCACAATCTCGGTCTCGTCTGTCTCGCGAGAATGACAGAACGCCAAAATGGCGGCGCCCATGAACATATTTCTCAAGTAAAAAATAGTGTCTTAAAACAAGAATTTCTCTCTTATAGGGTTGATGTCAATAGGAAAACTGTCATGGTTCCTCTTTTTAAATGATGAATATTTATTTCCGACAGACATCAATCCATCCATTCCTATTCCTTTAAAGCAAACAAATAAACGGTTTAAAGAATTTTTTTAAAAGAAAATTAAAGAATAAAGTGTTTTCCTTTTTTTAACTTTAATATGTCTGGCGAGTCACACTTGTTGTTTTGTCCAAATCCTTTCCATAAATAAATGTCACAGTTAAGAAAGTGTAATCAAAATTCAATCATTTCACAGTCAATGTCATTTAAAGGTCAATGTCATATGAAAATCATTTCAGATGTACATTTGGTCACAAGTGTTGTTTTGTCCACATATGAATCAAATTCGTACATAAATAACAAAATTATGACAACTTAAACATAATTCAATACTTTGGCTTTTGCTGTCAAGGTCATTCAAAGCTAAATGTCAGTTCAACTTTTTAGGATGTCTAAAATAAGTTGACTTTCAAGGTCATACCCAATGACCTGACCCAAAAGATATTGTGTCTTAATTTGAAGTTAATCAATTTATAGATAACAAAGTTATAGCCAGTTACACAAAAGAAAAACACAAGAGAACTTCATTAATTTTATCTTGATATTCAAGGTCAATTTAAGGTCAAGGTCACGTCTAAATTATGCAATATGTTTGTTTGGTGGCAAGTCTTATGTTGTCCAAGTTTAAATCAAATCTGTTCATAAACAAGAGCCAGCCATGTTGACATGGCCACCCCCGCCGAATGTGTTTGCTCATTGGAAGAATAAATATGTAGTAGAGCAGAATAGTTCAATTTTATGAGGTCTTTTGGTAACGAAAACTGATGGCTGAAGTGATTACAGATTTGAAACCTATGTGAATACCAATTCCCTTTTTTCCAGATCTCAAGGTCAAATGTTAAGGTCATTGTGAGCCCCTTATTATATAAAGTTCTTCTGGTCTAATGTTGACTTTTTTGCGCTCCAATTAATATGCAAGTATAAAACCGCCGTAAAAATTTAATCTTCTTTAAATACATGTGAAAGCTTTTTTTAAACTTTGGAGATGCGT